GAGAGAGAGAGGGAGAGGGAGAGAGAGAAAGAGAGAGAGAGTGCAAGCAAGGCTTATGCAAGCAAGGCGTATGCAAGAAACGCTTGTGCAAGCAAGGCTTATGCAAGAAACGCTTGTGCAAGCAAGGCTTATGCAAGAAACGCTTGTGCAAGCAAGGCTTATGCAAGCAAGGCTTATGTAAAGAAATGTATTATTTTATTGTTTTCACATTATATTGTAAACTCTTGTTAAATGTGAAATGTACAGCAGGCCTGATTCAGCCTTTGTGTGCAACGCCTTTTTTTACCAATAAACCAGTTTTGATTGATGGATTGATTTATTGATTGATCGATTTACGCCTGAAGAAGGGGATTCCTTGTGGGTTAATGGCATGAACAAATCTTAAAGCGGCATTATGTAACATTAGGGCGAAAGGAAATGTCAAATTTCTTTACAAAGTTCGACCGACCCTACTCCCATTTGCAAATTAGTGCCATTCGGAAGTGGAGGTGCCAAAATATGACGCCTGGAAGCACGGTGGTCTGCCATGTTTGTTTACATTCTGGTAGTTTGTGGTGGTAACACAAACTGAGCGCGCATCGTGTAGGCTGGTTTGTTCGCAACCATAAAGTCAGAAATGTGACATTATTGCACATTCATGTTGAAAAGTAGAAGGAAATTACAATCACACGAAGACCAATCATAATGTTTCAAACCATTTTGGTGTAGAAATGTCACATAATGCCCATTTAACATAATTCGCCCAAGGTTTCTGTTATACTCTCTGCTCATGATCAAGGCATTTGTTTGAGTACAACCCGCAGCAGTCTCTCCACAGGAAAACATGCCCTCACTTTGCCGGTATCTAGAACTCACACCACCAGCAGAACTTGCATACATACTGCAGTACACATCTGGAACAGTCTCCCAGACAACGTGGTCGGCCTGATCACTGACAACAACCTCCAGTCATTCAAAACAAGAGTACACCGGCATCTTCTTTCCACCATCAGGACTTCTACATGTAGCTAGAACTTTGCTGTAAATCAATGATTAGCCAGACATCAAAGTGCCCCCGGCCAAGGAATTTTTGATGACGTCAATGCTGGCGGCGATACGAATTAATAGTGCAAGAAATGTCCCAGCTTTTCAAATCAATTGTTCAATTCTGCATCACCCTCAGGATAAGAACACATTAACGACACCCACCTGTCTTGGTGGCCAAGCTTTAAATTTTCCCATTTTCCACGAATATTGTCTAGATGATTCATAAGTCTACCCTGTACATTTTTTCAGACAACACGAAATTCCGTTCTGTAAAAATGTATGTGTAAATACTCATTATTGCCATGTGGTTTTCTCCTGACATTTTTGTTTCCATTGTTTTTGTCTCAACCCAGATGTGTCAGCTAATCTGATGAAATCTTTTGTCATAAATTGTCAAGGACTTCACAATAGTGTTCATTCAGTCATATACACGTGAGGACTGGACTAGACTGGGTCATACATGTCACAGTCGAAGGCCTCTCACACGACTCTTACCTTTACTAAACGCGGGACGGTTTTTTTCTTGGAAAGCACAAACTTTTACAAGTCCTCGCCTCCGGTGGGAAGTTTCGATAGTTCAGGTAAGGTCTACTTTTTCTAATATCTGTGAAGTGTTTAAAATTCGAGACTTCTTTTTGCGTGAAGTTAGAAAAATTCACGTAAACGGTGTCTCACTGGTCGGTGTCTATCTTATGGCCGAGTCTCGCTTGTAGTAGCTTTTTTTGTCATCACTTCGCAAAGTTGGATGTTGTGTGCGGAATAGCAGCTATTCAGTTGCAGCTGGCCTGTGCAAGAAGCCACATAGGCACTCAAAAAGCGATTTCAGCAAACCTGGATTTTAGATAAAGTCAATCTTTGATGAATTCCACACGTAGTAATTTGAACCAGTCCTATCCCATAGCATACTGATATCTTCTTACTATAACTTATCCGTCCACTTCTACCATCTGGGGTGTCGTGGGGAGGGGCAGCAGCTATTAGCTTTGTTGGTGTCACCAAATAAAGCTCCTGTCACACTTTCACGATCTCCCGAATGGCGTTCACGAACACCAGCCGAACACCAGCCGACCAGGCCGACCCTCCCGAACACCCACGAATGCTCGAGCCCAAACCCTATGTAGTGGTTTATAGTAAAAGAGTTCTAGAAACCCCCACCAAGTTGCCCCCACTAAGTGTTTTTCAGTGACAGATATCCTCAAGACCCCCGTGTGATGCCTTGTATCTGCTTGAAGATTACCTTTCGATGCCACTCAGTATCTGCTTGAAGATTACCTTTCGATGCCACCCAGTATCTGCTTGAAGAGTACCTTTCGATGCCACCCAGTATCTGCTTGAAGATTACCACGCAGTATCTGCTTTTAATGCATTGCTCAACCCCCATGTAGTGGTTAGTGCTTAGTAAAAGAGTCCTAGAAACCCCCCCACTAAGTGCTTTTCAGTAACAGATGTCCTCAAAACCCCCATCCGATGCCTTGTATCTGCTTGAAGATTGCCTTTCGATGCAACCCAATATCTGCTTGTAGATTCACAATCCATGCCATGGCCACCCCGTATAATTATGGCATGACAAGTATTTGTTAAACCCCTGTCACACATCATTCACAAACGTCCCACGAATTCGGCTGCTGTTCGGGAGCACTCTGACCAGATTTAGACCACGCCTACCTTTCGTATGTGAGTCGAAACAAATTAGAGTTAAATTGGAGCCAAATTTGATCCCTAAACACGCCCCAAACACTACTGACTTATGCCTAGGTCACATTTCCAAACCGGGGCCCGGCCGGGCTGTTTGTATGAACGATGAACTAACAATTCACATCAAGAATATACATATATAGTGCCCATGATCATTATCGAAAACCTTTCTGTGTTTCTTTGTCTTTTTTATCGTATACTTTTCGTTCCATAAGACTGCCCGGTCGGGCCCCGGTTTGGAAATGTGACCTCAGCATTAGTCCAGGATGGTTGGCAGGTGTTTTGCTGACTTTATACGGTCGAAACCCAGCGATCTATGATCGAACCTCCCAAACGCCTCATGAATGTTTTAAACATGCTGAAACATTCGGCTGGCACAGCCGAACTGTAGCCGACCTCGCCGAACGCCAGCCGACCCAGCCGACCCTGGCAACCGAACGCCAGCCGACCCTGGCCACCGAACGCCAGCCGACCCTGGCAACCGAACGCCAGCCGACCCACTCTTAACCATGGTTGGCGGGCGTTCGGCTAGCGTTCGGGAGGTCAAATTCGTGAATGTATGTCAGGCAATATCAGCTTTAACCTGTCGAATGATGAATGCCTGAATGTCATTCAGTGTGTATTATAACGACGATTTTGTCGACAGCAATAGAATTTTTGTTGCTGTTTAGGAGCAAACTAAAGATTTTAGTCTCTCTGTTCCCCATTCACATATACCCTCTGCTCAACACAGTCTACCCCGCACTTTTCTACCACCGCCCGAGGCTGTTTCTTTTGGCTAAATGTCGTTTCCACGGTCGACAAACCAACCTGACGTTCCAAATGCTATCTTCACGCCAATCAACTTGAATGAAGTTTACTGATCACACATGATTTCCTATTTATACAGTTTGAAAAATATTCTACATTTGTCCATGCAATTTATTCTCACCTTACTATCATCTATTACTAGACATGATACTTATAGGCAAAGAAAAAACTATTCTTCTTTTAACTCCCCCCAAAAACACAAATTTTGGAAAAGGTGGGACATTACGTCTTCCGCGGTTTACAAA